AAAATGACTTCAAAACAAACCTATAAGGATGCTTAGTATTTTATTATCACCCTCTGCAATTCTTACTTAGAAAGCAATTGATTTTAAAATATATATGATGTCATGTACACACCAAAAGGACACAATTTATTGTTAAATCAAGTAGCTATCTTTATTTCTTACCACTCTCAGATAAATCCTAAAGATTTAGAATATTCATTGAAGGTCCATAAAATGGTACTAATACTTTCTAAAAGATGAACTTTGAATCTGATAAATAAAAATCCAAAAACACAAGTCCACTTTGCTGTCTATACTTTGACTTAGGCCTGGAAAGACTGACAAAGATGGTGTCTCATTGGATGTATTTAAATGTGATCCTAATTTCATCTCTTAGATAAATTTTTAAAAAATCTTCTTCTGCTATATTCATGATGGTGGGCCCTTTTTTCTGTCCCACTGCATGAGACCTAGAAGGAGAACACTCTCACTTCCCTCTGATCTGTGTGTCACCTTACCTGACCCTTCTAGAAGCAAGTACGCACTCAGTAAGCAGGCTGGTTTAGCCATTTTTTTCTCAAGGGTTCAGGCATTGTTCTAAATCATCTTGCTTCAGCAAGGGACATTAGCTGTGGTTTTCTTTGTCTACCTACCTGGCTTTCTCCCACCACCAGATGCAGCAAGAAGTCTTATTTTCTAACCCATCACCTCCCCTGGTCACTTTCATCTCTCCAGATCAACTTCATCTCCCAGGTTACTTCATCTCCCAGGTCACCTTCACCTCCCCTGATCAACTTCACCTACTGGGCCACTTTCACCTTTCCAGGTCATCTTCATCTCCTATGTCACTTTCACTTTCCTGATCACCTTCATCTCCCCTAATCACCTTCACCTCCCCAGGTCACCCCTTTCTTTCTCTGATGTACTCAAATACCCAAAAGTTATCAGAAGTGTCCCCTCTCCATGAAGAAATGATGACACCTTTGACAGTTGGTTTCTTCTTAGATTTTAAAAGTTTTGCAGCCTTCGACACCTGCTTCACAGCAAGATGTTTTCATCCTTTCCTGTTTTATGCTGAGCCTGGCCTCAAAAGTCAGAATTTATGGTAATTACTCAGACAGCTTTCTGAATGAAATAGAAAATCATATGTGAAAGTAGAAGGAAAAAAAAATCACCACTTAACTTTTAACCCCAAATTGAGTGAGTAAAAATTTTTATACAACTACAAGTTGTTTATGTGTGTGTGTAGTCACACAGCATTGCAGAAAAATGGGCCAATTTTTTGATGCTGGTAAATGAAGACACAATAATGGAAATGTGATCTGGTTCTTTTTGAACTCCAACAGCGTGAACTATGTAATAGAACCATTAAATGATTCTACAGTTATTAGCATTTCATTTTAAATCAAAACAAAAATTGCCAGAAATACTCCTCACAAAAACCAAAACCAAACAACAACCACCACCACAAAACAAAAAATAAAGTTTCTACTGGGTGCTGTTTAAAAAGACTCCTCAGAAACAGAAGGAGCAGAAGATTGATATCACTAAAACATGCCCCATGATAACCTGAACCAGGTATGATGGTGGCTTTGTAGAAAGAACAGCAACCAGGCATGAGTGAGCTACTCACAGAGGAGTAAATAAAACAAACCCATTAAAGGGAGGAATCATTTAAACAAAGGCCTATCACATAAGGGCATTTTTATTTACTGAGCAGAGTTGACAATTGGTTCCACGATCTAACTCAGTGTATTTACTTATTAGAAAATTATTTCTAGCACAATAAATATTGGTTAGATAAATAAGTCTGAAACATATTCTCCCAAATAAAAAATGGCAAATTTCAGACAAGCATATTTTGGAAGAGCAACAAGATGAAATGAGCAGCCAATTCATCCAAATGCATCCTCCACAAAGGAATAGATAGAAGAGGGAAAAGCAAGTGGGAAGGTGGAGACTGGGCAAACAGGAAAAATGGAATAACCAATCTTTGAAGCCATACACAAACCCTATATTAAGTCGGGAAACATTCTAGAGATTACTATATAAAGTAAAAGTGCTAAAAAGAAAACACTTAATTTATCCATACTTAATTTCAGAGTTAGCATAACGTTAGGAAATATTCTCATATTAAAGACCAAGAGTCACTACATAAAATGAGAGGAAACTTGGGTGCAGGATTTGTTGACAGAAGAGGTAGCCATCACTAGCAATTGAATGAATTATTTGTCCCGGTGTTCACCAGCATGGCCAGAGGGCAGGTGACAGACACAAATATAATTTCCCAAGGGATGGAGGAGGAAATTAGGTAGGAGACCAGAACATGAGGTCATGAAATTTAAAGTAACCAAACTTAAGAGCAGGAACAATTCATCCCAAATGTCAAGAGAAGTGAAGCAAAAAATGGAATAACATGATATATTTTTAAAACTATGGCATAAAAAGAGTAGGTATGGAGGACCTGTGCCCTCACCCTGACCTTGTGGCTCCTTCTGTATCTCCCCCAGGCCTTTGCTCAAGTGCACCACTTCCTGTGCTCATCACTTACATACTATTTCATGTCTTTATTCATGTCTTTCTCCTTTTGCTAGATAGAATACAGACCCCATGAGGACAAGGATTTCTGTCCATTTTGGGGTCACTTCTCTTTCATCAGAACCTGGAATACAGCTGGAACACATAAGCAGTCAATGTTTGCTGTTTTACTGGACAAATAAGGAGGTTTTCTGGGGGCTTCTGGGAAAGAAAGCACACAGCATCATCCCTACAATGCTGCAGGGATGTCAGCCCAGAATACAGCAGCCATTTTGCCAGTGTGATAAGAGCCAATTCCAGAATGGAGCTGACAAAGGAGAGGGCAGAGTGGGAGAGAGGAAAGAATTAAGGCTCTTGTGATACAAACTGTAAACCTTGCCTATCTCCAGACCTCTCACCTATGCGAGCTGATAAATGCCCTGGGCTGGGAGCCATTTTGAGTTGGATTTTCTTAATGCCAGCTGAAAGCATTCTCCCCGTTAGTCTAAGTTTTGAAATTTCGAAAGATGGTTTTAGAAAAATATGGGAAAAGGGAAAAACAGAGAACAAGAAGCAGGTAAGGGAAATGAGAAGCATTACTTGATAGGTACAAAACTATATAATAATATATATATAATTAATATATGTGAGATATAAGTAATATAATTATATAAACATAATAAAACTATTATAGTCCACATATTCTTATAAAATTTAGCTCAAGGATTATTTATACAGTATGCAAGTGACCAAGTAACTTGACAGTGCCAAAAAATTACCAGATAATAAGTTTAAAGTAAGTGTGGCTTACATGGTTCCAGAACATCTGCATCTGGAAGAGAGGCAGAATCATAATTCTTTACTACTGAATAAGATATTCATAAAAGCAAAAGCATCTGCAGTGCTTCTAAATCTGTAATGTGCATAAAAGTCAACCTGAATGCTTATTAGCAATACAGATTCCTGGGCAAACCAAGAGGGAACTGAAATGCATATTACTACGCGAAAGAAGCCAATACGACAAGGCTACATACTTACTGCATGATTCCAACTACAAGACATTCTGGAAAAGGCAAAGCTATGGAAACAGTAAAAAGATCAGTGGTTGCAGGAGGGGAAGAATGGATGATCAGCAGAACACAGATTTTTTATGGCAGTAAAACTATTCTGTATGATATTATAATGCTGTCATTATACATATCATTATACATGTCCAAATCCATAGAATGGTCAACACCAAGAGGGAACTCTACATGGACATGGGTTGATAATGACCTGCAAGGTTGGTTCTCCAATTGTAACAAGTGTATCATTCTGGTGCTGGATGTTAATGGTATCAAAAAGTCCATATGTGGAGTTGGGGGAGGGTTAAGTGGAAACTGGATTTCAAGCTCAATTTTGCTGTGACCCTAAAAAATTCTCTAAAAAAATTAAGGTTTATTAATTGAAGTAAAAAATCAAACAGAACAGATACACATACAGCAAATAAGTCATCATCTTCACCACATCCCCCTAGTCCTGCTTCCCAGAGGCACAGAAGGTAAACAGAATCCTGGGAACCTTTCTAGAACTTTGGTACTTACACAAGATAGAAAGGAGATGTAATGGCCCCATATAATCCCTTACTCTTTCTCCTTTTAGTAACAAAATCAAAGAAGTTTTTATTGTATACACCCAACTGACTAGCAACGTATCTCCCAGCCAGAAGGTAGAGCCATTTGACCAAGTTCCTGGCCTCGGAATATGAACAGAAGGCATGGACTTTCTGTCCATTTCTCTACACACCCTTTTCCATGGGCTGAAATGTGGCCAGAGTCCCCTTAGCCAGCTTAAAAATATACCTTTGTTAGTCAACTGTATTTTAGTTAAATTAGGATGATTCACAAAACTTGATATAGTAAAAAAACAAACTTGTTATGCCCCTCACAGCTGTAACTTATATAAGTTTTGAACCACATCTAGGTATTTTTCACCATTATATTTCACAATCCTGGCATAGATCTTGGCCCTGAGGATATATTTTCTATTTTTTTTAATGTTTTCATTATTCGCTTAACTCTTCAGTTGCTGAGGAATCTGTTTTACCTTAGAATATAAAAAAGTATTTCCATCTTAATTTTGTCCAAACATCTGCATACTAATCTTTCATTTTCCCACTGTTGGTACAGATACTTTATCACACATTTATATACTAAATTCTTACTGTGTGTTGGGTCCATGGTTGGATTCGGTCTTGTGCATTTTGTCCCAACTATAGAATCCATCTATGTGGCATTGTTTTTATTATTGTAGACCTATACTATGTTTTAACATCTGACAGGACAAGTCTCTTCTCAGTAATTACTCTTTCCTTAAAAGTATTAATTACAATAATTTTATTAGTCCTCTGCTAATAAAAGATAATCTTTAAAATAAGTCATTAAATTTATATAGCAGGGAGTTCCTGCTTCCTTTCTCATTTTAATTTTGTGGATTGTCCTTTGGCCAAATATGGGTCCACTTACTTCAGCAATCCAGCCCGATGGAAGACATAGAGATCATGTTCAAGGGTGCAGTTGTTGTAGGGGACGATCTTCACAAAGTTCTGGATGAGGACAAACTCAGGGGTGAGATGGGGCAGAGAAATGAGGCAGAAGTTCTTGTCCTAACATGATCAAAAACCAGGACACATGGAAAGCGTCAAACGTCATCATTAAACAGATTCCTACTCTAAAACACTAAGGAAAATCAAAGCAAAATGCATTTAGGAGAAGACAGTCATTTTCCTATAATTTGGAAAGTAATCATGGAATAAGCAACTACAAGAATACGGAGAAAATACTCTCAAGTCTAAATGTATCTGAATGAATGGATGTTATGAACAATGACATCTGTTGGCATAGCTCTTTTATAGAAGTAGACTTTTAAACCAAGACCATTTGCTCTTGAGGATTCACTTGTATCACTGAGTAAATAAGACAGCTTGATGTCCTAGCAAAGTCCTGCCTCTTACTAAGTGACCTCACAGCAGCCTGATCCACTCCTCTGAGATAACAGGGTGATATAGTGTAACTTTTCAGGCTCTGAAATCCTATGATTACCCATAAACAGATGTGTGTGTGTCTTTACCATGAAATGATCCCTTTAGTGAAGATCCAAGGGCATGGGTTTAGTAAGCAGTCACAGGAGGAGCTACATGTCCTAACAGATGCCACAGACTTTCTAGACCTATGCTGTCCTGTGTGGTAGCCAATGACCACATCCAGCCAATGGGCATCTGCAATGTGGCCAGTGTAACTGAGAAACAGAATCTTTAAAATTTAAATTTTTTAACTTCATTTAAGTTTTAAAATGGGTGCTCAGTTTTGATTATTAAAATAGTTTTGTGTGTGCTTGGGTTATGTGAATCTAGTCATCCTAACTTGAGTATGTGAATCTCCTCATCTATTCTGGTTGGGATTTGAGGTGGCCCTTAAAAGGCTTCTGTTAGTGCAGGAATATTCAGATGTTAAATGATTGGATTTTGACAACTGTAACTCAATCAGCCCATCCTAGTTTGAATGGACTGGGTGGTGACTGTACGCAGATGGGGTATAGGTAGAGAAGGTGGGTCACCAGGGTTGTACCCTAGAAGAACTGTTCTTCCTGAAGCGCCCTCTTCTCTTCCTCCCTCCTCCTCCCTAATTTCTTTTTGTCATGAGCACTGAATAGCTTTCCTCTGCTGGGCCCTTCTCCCAGAATATTCTGCCTTATCTTGGGCCCAGAGCCAAAGAATCTGCCATCTATGGACTGAACCTCTGAAACTGTGAGCCAAAATAAACCTTTCCTCCTCTAAGTTGTTCTTGTCAGGAATTTTGGTCACAGCAGTGCAAAGCTGACTAAAACATCATCTATCTATAAGCCTTATGAGATCTAAATACAGATCAAGTATTTCTGATGAAATATATTACCTGTATTGAGATGTGCTGTAATATAAAATACACAGTGGATTTCAAAGACTTATTATGAGAAAAGGAACGTAAAATAGCTTACTAACAAACTTTCATATTGATTACATGCGGAAATGATTAAGTATGATTCATACTGAATTAGATGAAAAGTGTTATTAACATGGGTTTCGTCTATTCCTTTTCACTTTTTGGTCAAGTGGCCACCAGAACATTCAGAATCACTGATATGATTCACACTCAGTGTCTATGAATGGTGCTGCTTGAGGCTGCCTGTGTTTCTGGCAGCCACTTGATCCTCTGCCAGGTCCCTGCAGAAGCAACCTGCTCTTCCCAGAGCTAATTTGTCCCTTTGGGATCTCGCCTCCCCTTGAACCCTGTGAAGGCATTACTTGTGCTAATCCAAAACCCTCCGGACATTTGTTGCAACCCAAAGGAGTGAATCATTATTTGACCTTATCTTTCTTCTTTCTAGCAAAATAACACAACTCCTTTTGGGAAACTTCAGAGTTGAGTTGCTGAAATACTTAGTTTGAAAATAGGGACTGGGTGCCAAGCTTCAGTGGATTTACTGGGAGTGGGAGACTGATTCTAATGAGTTGCTTTGACTTGGATTTGTAAGATTATGGATGAAGTAATGGTCCTGTTCCTCATATTCCAAAATCAAATAGCATTTAAAAATAAACAGATATCCCTACCTTTTTAAAACACAGCATTACTTGTCTAATGCTGAAGATTTGCCTTCACGTGAACTTTAAAATGGGGATTAAACTTAGTGAGATTTCCTTGAGGCATCTTTGAAGGAAACTGGTTTTGTAAATTTTATTTTTAGAATAATATACATGTTTTTATGAGCTTTAAAAATGCCTTAAAAATAATTCAAAGAAATTACAGTGGAAGATATATTGCCTTATTATAAGGTTTCATCATATTTAAGAAATGAGAAAATAAAACCTAAGATCATATGGTGTGTAAGCAACATAATTAAACCATATTTATTTTTGCTTCCATATAAAGAAAAGTAAGGAAAAATAAAACAATAGACATTTTGCTTGAAATTAGCCAATTGAAGAATATACTCGTTGACTTTCCTGTTGGGCCAGCTATGGGAAAAGTCTGCATAAAAACCCATCTTTTCCCTCAATTGTCTTCCTTCTTCACTTTCTTCCCTTCAATAAAATGTTGCCTGGGCAACAATGAAACAAGAATGGAGGAAGCGGCTCCCAAATGTTGGCCATGAGATACATTTACCAATGTGAGTTGAGCCCCTTCTACATGTCAGGCTCTGGCTCAGGACCAAGGAATCCATAGGGAAAGAAATATGATATGTCAAGAGCTTTGCAATGTTTTGAACAACCAATAAAATAAATAAATAAATTTTAAAAAAAAGAAATGCCAATCTGAAAATCAATCACAAGTTTTCACTTTCCTATTCACCAAAAAGGAATATGATGATTTTAGAATACTTTATGCCAATGTCAGCTATAAAGTGATACAACAGTGTAATTCACATCAGTGAAATTTTTGACATTTTCATGTGCTACTATGAATGATTTGACTCTAATAAAGCACTGGTAAAGCTATCTTTTAAAGAAATTATACACTGGAAGAAGACTGTTAAAATAGCATGACCAAAGAACAAATTGAAAAGGACAATATTTTCTATTCTTAGGAGTGCCCTTGACCTTATTCTCGGGATACAGATGCAGTTTATACCTCAACATTCATAGCATTTTAGATGCCTGCACAATAAATATAAGTTTTATTTTTCTATAACTGCTTAAACTACAAAACCAATTATATTACTCAAAATTCATCATGTACTTACAGGAAAAAGACTGAAAACAAAATTCATAAAATCCAACGATCTGTAAATAAGACAATATGCATTGTCACTGGAATGAAAGCAAATGTAAAATCACAGGCTGTTTAAAGAGATTTATGGCTCTTTCCTCCTCAGGTAGCAATTAGTTGGCTGAACATTAGTCAATCCAAAAGTCATGAGCTTCATATGTCAGTAACCAAGTATTTTTTTTAATCTCAAGATCTGAAGATTAATAGCAATTAATAATCTCTGCTCATCTGAAAAACCGGTATGAAGATAATTATTCTATGAACATGATCCTTTACTTTCTTTTTGGAAGAGCTGGGGAGAGATATTGGTATGTTATAGATTATTCTGATCTTTTTATCTTATATACAAAATATTTTCTGACCAGCTGAATATGTATATTCACAGGCAACCATAATGAGTTTAAAATCCATTAAAAATGAATTTAGAATGTTTAAAAATCCAAAAATTACAACTAGACACAATCATAACTAATTGCACAGGGGGAAAACAAACATAAAACAACAAATCTCAAAGGACTTTACAGGCTTTTTAGATTATCTACAACATAATTAGAATAAAAAGATTTCCTTTTGCATATTATGCGGCCTCCATGAAAGCTGAAAATTTAAGTGGAAAAAAAAAAAGTAAAAGTAAAATATGGTTCTAGAGGAAGCCGAAAAATTGGGAAAACATTTAAATACACCCTTTAAAAAGAAATGGCTAGCATTGTTCTTGGTCATCCAAAAGATACTCCAGAACCCTCTGCTCTATCAAAGTGGGCCTCTTCAAGATTGTTCTGTGGCTACATGGTGAAATAGGCAATGTGCTAAAGGAGATGTAGAATTTGGGCATTGAGGGCAATGGTTCATATCCAAATGACCGGGTACATCAAGCACTGAGGATGTAGGGCTCCGAAGGGGCAAGAATTGAGGGGACCACGTGGGGGACGACACCTGGGCTCCATCTGCCTGGTACCATGCTCTCCTTTCAGTACCTTCCTTGGATTACTGGCTGCTCTGCTTATCCCACTCCCAGATCTCATGTTTGGGTGAGTCTCTAACCCCAGATTGAGCATGAGGCAAGCCCAATTTGAAGCATGGTCTGGTCACAGTCATAGGTTCAGGACTTAGCACACAGTGCAATTGGTTCCCATGGAACTTTGGCTAGAGAGCTGAGCCCAAGCCAGAATGCCCCCAGCTCACTGGATATTTAGGTAGACCCAAGACTATCAGCTCTCTTGACCCTGGGTTGGGAATACTCCTCTGGAGCCAACAACAGGCAACCAGGGAAATAAGGTAGAGAGAGAAAGCCCAAGCCATAGTTAAAAATGGTTCTACCTACCACTGGACTTATCCTTAGTTATGTGAGGCAATTATTCCATTATTTTCCCCCAAACCCAGTTTGAGTTGGATTTTCTGTTACTTGCAACCAAAAGACTCCAGACAAGCAGCAGTTAAAATCCATAATCTCCCAGAAATGCAAACTTTAAAGAATGGGAGGAGCATGTGGTTACAAGGTGGTGATAACTTTCCTGGTCCCCTACTGTAATATAGGGAGGCCAGACCTGACCAATTTTCTTGCCCAGATCTGTAAGCCTCAACCCCAATTTTATGAACAGTCTTTGGAAGGAGTCCAGGAATCAGTTTTTTGTTTTGTTTTGGTTTTTGCTTTTAATTCCCCAGGAGATCGGGATGTGGGGCCAGCTTTGGAAACCACTGGCTCTGCAAGATTAAAATGTCATAAGTTCTTACTGTAACAAACAACCGGAAGTTCAATACTTACCTTGCTTCATATTTCTCATCAATACAAAATAGCTGAATACAAAAAGCATCTGACTCTCCCTTGTAGACAGGGCGGAAGTAACTGGGCTCTTCGTGCAGTGAGATGGATGTGGAGCTCTCACTGCTGATATATTGCTCCTCTTCATCAACAATGGAACTCCTGCTGAGTTTTTCTACCTCCTAGACCAAGGAGAAAGGAAGAACCAATAATAATCCTGTTCACTTTCTGCAACTTATCTCTATCTTATCTACTGTTCCTAAGGCAGACAGGAAGGTCCAGCACTATAGCCACCTAGAAAGTTAGCACTTAGTATGTCCAGTCTGATTTTAGAAGCAGTTGAGGTGTTGCAACCCAGAGGAAAACAATTCATTCTGAGGTCCTTCTGAAGTTCTTTTAAATCAAAGAAATCCATGCATGTAGTCAAAATTAAAATCAAATTAACACTAAAATTTTGTAATTAAAAATCATTAGTCTTTTATCCCCATAATTCACCTTCCCCATTAACTAGCACTTTCAGCGTTTTCATATTTATTTCTAAATAAAATGCTTATATACTATTTCTTAATTCATCAGATTTTGAAATTTTCTATTGGATATTAATGTAGTAAATTGATCTAACTTTTCTGTGTAACCCTCTACCCTAAACTCTATCTTCCCAGTATAATTACATCACCATTCACAGTTAACCCAGTAAGTCTTTGCATTATTATGAATATGCAAGCATTGTTGCTATCCCTGAACAGAGAAGTATAATTTGACTACATTCTCATTTGTGTCCTTTGTTTTTAGTTGCTTGGTTTTCTGATTTTTTTCTTCATATGCATTACCAGATTTGTCAAGTATTGGTAAATATGAGTTTCCAAGCAATCAGGAAGTTGAAGTTGAAATATTCTATGAACTTTTTTTTCTTCCCCTCCTCTAATCTGGACCTGTTGCTCTACTGGCCTACAATGCCACTTGCATCTTTTCTTTTCTTTTTGTTTTGTTTTCGGTTTTGTTCGTGTTTTACAGTTGCTGTTTTCTTTTTGCCTCCATGTAGAGCTGCCTTTTATTAATCGAAACCTTATAATCTTTTTCTTAGTGATCATACCTATACTATGTCATATTTACTACATTTCTTTCAACCCTTCCAAAAATGTTCCTTCTTAGTGGAGGAGCCACTAAATCACCTCTTTATTTATTATTTATTTATTTGTTCTAAGGCAGTTGCTGTTTTTTAAGCTCCATCTCTTTTCCTCATCTTCTTTGTTCATGGTTTAGCCCCTTTATCACTGAAGTGCCATTCTAGCTTTATAAAAACAACAATGCTTGGGAGGCAAATATTTGGCAGGGCTGTGGGGAGGCACCTCCGTGACATTATCTGGAAGCCTTTTATTTTCTTTGGGCCTGTCCGTTTTTGCAGGGAATTAAGTTCTTTAATCTCCTGCCTAAGGGATTGTGGAAGGGAGAACAGTGGCCCTCAAAGGTGTGTATGTCCTAATCTCCAGAACCCATGAGTATGTTATCTTACAGGGCAAAGGGACTGCAGATGCCATTTAACTAAGGATTTAAAATGAGGAGATCATCCTGGATTACCCTTATAATAGGGAGGTAGGAGAGTCGGAGTCAGAGAAAGGACAAGAGATTCTCTGCTGATGGCTCTGGAGATGGGGGAAGGGGTCACAGGAATGCAAGTTCCTTTTAGAAATTATCAAAGGCCAGAGGACAGATTCTTTCTTGGATCTTCCAGAACAAATATGCCCCATATGCATTTAGATTTTAGTACAGTAGATCCATTTTGGACCTCTGACTTCCTGTACTATAAGATAATAGATTGGTGTTATTTTATGCTACCGAGTTTATGATAATTTGTTATAGCAGCAGCAGAAAACTCATACCAACAATTGGCTTCTTGCATTCAAAGAATGTGCCTGGAGGAGGGACTGGGGGTTCCTGTATTTGAAATGGAGAATTTCACTCATTCCTCTATTTTCTGTCCTCCACCATTACCCAGCCTCATACAGTATATGCTGGACCTGAATATGGAGCTGTGTCTATTCAGTTTTTCCAGAGAATTCTCATTTTGTTTCTCTTGGGGTCTTGTAGATGAGCTAAGTGGAGGATGCAGGGAACCTGGGGTTTCAGTTACTCCTTAACAGTCTGCCAAACAGATCCCTCATATTCAGCCTCATTCCTCACTCCGCCTGCAGCAGAAACTCCAAGTCCTTAGCCCCACTGTTCACCAGTTTCTCCTCTCAGATGGACTAAAGTTTTACTTCCTTAGAAGGGCTAAGCCAAGGTCAGCTCCGTCAATTTTATTAATTATAAATATTTTAAAGTGCCTATTTTTCAATAACTCCTCTCTGACTTGTTGTCTTTGTGGATATATGCTTTCTATCCTTTTTCTGGTTGGTTTAGGTGAGTTTTTTTTTCCCCCACAGAAGAGGCAGTAGCTAAATATGGGAGATCAATTCACCTGGTTTCAGATGCCCTCTGTGTTTGATGCAGAGAGAGGGGACCAGCCTAACCCTCCCTCTCTATCCTTGTTTGGGTCCACAAAATAATGGCCTCCCTCTTAGGAATCTTGGAGCTAAAACTGCCATTCTCCACTGCACCTCCTCTCTTTCCTCTCCAGGGTATAAGGAGTGACCTACTGGTCAACGAGTCTCTCACTGTGGGTTCCTCCAAAGAGAAACTCTGAACTAAGAGTCTTCTCTTCTTGCCTCACTTCCCCATTCTCCTTGTATAATTTCATGGCATGGCTTCCTAAACAAGCTGCTGAACCTTGGCTCTTAGCTCAAGGTTCACCACTGGAGGAACCTACACAAGGAGACCCATTGGCGAGTACGTCATTCCTTGTGCCCTCGGGAGGGGAAAATGGGGATGCAGCAGAGATGGCAGTTTTCTCTCCAAGATCTCAGGGATTTAAGGAATGGTTTCCATTGTTAACTCGGTCTCACAGAGATCTCTGGGAGACTATGGAGAACACAATTGAGAACTGTTGCATCTCAGAGACAAAGGAGTTGGGGTGTTGATTCTCCAACTCCTTTGATCATCGACTGATGGCTAATCCCCAAAGTAATGGAATTGCAGCAAGCACAGTACCAACAAAGCACCAGGTATTTTCAGTTTTCCTCAGAGTGCTGAGGAGTGATTAGTACCGAGGGCTATAGGTGCGGCACGGTGGTATACACTAAACTGAGATGCAGAAAACAGGCCCCTGCACAGCCCCATCTCTTTCTGGCAGCATATCCTGCTCTCAGACTTCATGTGCTCTCCTCTCCTCCCTCAGATATCCTGGGAGGGGACAGAAACCTGTCCTAAGAAGAAATGGGAATCCCATTTGTGTTCCAGATCCGAGCTTTGTTCTCCAGTTTGGTGGTAGCCAAAAGATATGGTACTTCTACCCCTAGATGACTTGTGTGTGGACTCCTTAATTGATCAGAATCTGGAGAGGAGACTGTATGTGCCAGGCCCTCTGGTAGAGTACTGATGTGTGGGATCAATGTTCAGTGCATGGGTCCCCAGTGCTACCATGGATCAGATGAACCCCCCTACCCAGCTTTCTTCTTCTCTGGCTGACTCATGAAGAGTTCATCTGCCTATCAATGGGATGTCCTGAGAAACTGTTGAAAATTGCACTGTGCTCAACACTGGAAAGTGAAATGTTCAGGCATGTCGATCTCCTACTCAAAAACCTATAACACCCTCCTCAGCTCCTTAGGAGAAGGTCAAAATCCTGAGCTGGGTCCATAGAACCCTGCCAATCTCCTGAATCCTCAGTTTCCTGGCAGAAAACAGACAGCACATGGAGTAGCTAGAGGACCACGTGCAAACATGTGTATAGGGTGAAGGGAAGTTAAGGAAGGATGGTGAAATACCCCAGGGATAGCCACTGGAGGAAGATGCTACCACCCTTTGGCCTAAACCTGTAATAGGAAGGGGCAGTTTCTGGAACCTGATATGCTTGCGAATGATACATATTACATTACAAGTATGTTCTTAAGTGTGTGCATGCTCAGATCATATGTGTATATATATATATATATATATATATATAGTCTTAGAAAACTTTTACAATTCTTTTGTTCTTCAAAATGTTTTCTCTTTTGGCAATGAGAGGGAGAAAGTTATCTGCACTGACTGAAATGGTTGCAAATGATGAATAAAAATGTTACTAATGGTCTGAATTATGCAGGGGATACAAGACAAGGGATTAATCAATCACTGCAGGGTCAGAGTTAACCATGGGAGGCTTTGTAGAACAGGAGCAAGACCATGGTAGATATGAACTAGGAGAGAGAGGTGGAAGGTCTGGGAGAGAAACCAGCACATAAAGACTGGTGGGAGAGGTGGTGCTTCATGCAAGTCAGTTATTATGCACACAAAGGCCCTGCTCAAACCCCACCTGAGTTTCACTAATTCCACTTTGGATTGATAATACAGGTTCCCCAGATGCAGCTTCTTCAAGGACTTTTTCCTGCAAATGACAATGATAAAACACAAGGGTTAATTACATCTATAGTAGTTCAGAGCTGAAGCTCTTGAGCAAGCTGCCAATGTTCAGACCCTGGCTTCATTGCTTATTGGCTAGGAGGCACTGAGAAAGTTATGGACCCTCAGTTTCCTCATATGTAAAAGGGGGGCAAAACAGCATTTTTTCATAAGGTTGTTAGGAGGATAAAATAAAAAGAGAGCAAGAGGGAAAGAGGGACTTATAGAGATTAAAAATATTGAATGCTTGATAGAAAAATGATAGATGGTAGATGGATGGACAGATGCTTGCCACAATGAGAGTACCTCCTAATTCTCTGTACATGTTAATTATAACTCCTATTATTCTTATTTTTATGTATAACTTGAAAACTGCACTAAGTTCTTTTCTTTAAAAAACAATTTTATGTATAAATGTATAAATGACATAAAATAAACTGCACATATTTAAAGTGAGAAGTTTTGCATTTTGTATGCACCTGTAAAAATATCACTCCAATCAAAATAACAAACACATAATACAACACTGTCCAGTCTTTGATGTTTCTTTTTCTTTCTTTCTTTCTTTCTTTTTTTTTCTTTTTTACTACTGGGAATTAAATCCAAGGGCACTTTACCACTGAGCTATATCCCCAATCCTTTTTATTTTAAGACAGGGTCTCACTAAGTTGCTTAGGCCTTTCTAAGTTGCTGAAGCTAGCTTTGAACTTACAATCCTCCTGTCTCAGCGTCCCAAGTCACTGGAATAGGCTACGATATTTCTCTGTGCCTCTTGCTACCATCTCTTGTGACCTTGATGACAACAGGCCAACATGGATCTCCTTTGTCCTATAGATTAGTTTGTATTTCCTGAAATTTTATGGTATCTTTTAATTTTTTTTTTGACAGGAGGTCTGACTTCTACTTCTTTCAGCATATTTATTTTGAAATTTGTCAATATTTTTAAGTATCCATAGTGTGTTCCTTCTTGTTGCTGAGTACTATTTCATGGATGCAGATGTACTACACTTCCTCCACTTCCCACCACTCTTGGAATGCTTAATCTTTTTTATTTTGGTCATTCGAACAGATGTCCAGTTATGTCTGATTGTGGTGTTCACTTATACTTCCTAATGATTAATGTCATTTCACATCATATGTCTTCGTCTGGAAAGTGTTTGCTCCAATTTCTTGCCCATTTTTAAATAAAAAGGGAGTTTATTTTATATTATTATGTTTTGAGAGCTTAAAAAATATCTTATAGAAACATACTTTGGTGAAATATATGATTTGTAAATATTTCTTCCCAGTCTGAGGCTTGCATTTTTCATTCTCTTAAAATCTCTTTCAATAAGTTTTACATTTTGATGACACCTAATTTATTGATTTGTTCTTATATGCATTGTGCTTCTGATATTGTATCTAAGGTAACTTTACCTAACCCAAGGTCACAAAGGCTTTCTCCCATGTTATATTTTCTTCTGTAGGTTTGGGTTTTATATTAAGATCCATGGTCCATTTGGAGTTACTTTTGGTATATGGTGTGAGGCATGAATTAAATTTTTAAATTGTTGTATATAGATATTGAATTGTTTCAGCTCCATTTATTGAAAAGACTCTCTTTACTATACTGCCATGTACGTTTATCAAAAAATTAGTTGTACATAAATGTTACATATAATTATATATATTTATGAGTATTTTTTTCTATTCTATTAATCTGTTTATTGACTTTGACACCAGTATTAAACTATTTTCATTACTAGAAGTTCATAGTAAGTCTTGAAATCAGTTAGTATTAGTCCTACAATTCTGTTAATCTTCTAAGTTGTTTGGTTATTATGGATCTTTTCTATTTACATATGAATTCTGCAGTTAAATTTTTAATTTAAAAAAGAAATTCCTGCTGAAATTTTGTTGGGCTTTTACTGAGTCTATAAATCAAATTAAGGAACTGACATCTTTACAATATTCTTTCAACCCATGCGCATAGGATATATCCTTGCTTATTTTATTTCTTCTTTAATATTCTCTCAGAAATGTTATGTAGTTTCCAGTGTGCAGGTCTTGAACATCTTTCAACAAATTTATACCTAAGTATATTCCATATTTGTACTATTGCAAATGGTATTTATTTCTATTTCTAATTGTTCATTGCTATGATATAGAGACACAATTGAATCTTGCATATTAATTTTACATATATTTAGTAAACTTGCTAAATACATGTTAGTGCTAGTAGCTGTTTTGTAGATTTTCTAGATGTTTATGTTATCTGTGAAATAAAAGTTTTAATTCTCTCTGTCCAAGCTGAATGCCTTTTATTTCTTCTCATGTCTTTTTGCAATGGCTCAAATCACCAGTACAATTGCAAGTAGTGAGAGTAGATATTCTTGTCTTGTTCTGGATGTTAGGATAAAAGTCATACCATCAAGTATGAAGTTAGCGCTAGGCTTTTATAAAAACAAATTTCATCAAATTAAGTTCTCTTCTATTCCTAATTTTCTAAGAGTTTTTCTAAGGAATGGATGTATAACTTTCAAATGCCTTTTCTGAGAAAAAAATGTGTGTTTCTTTTTTAGCTTTATTAATATGTTTAATTTCATTGATTTTCTTATGTGTAGCCAACCTTCCATTCCTTTTTATATATTGATTAAGTTGGTTAAAATTTTTACTAGAATTTTTCGATCAATGTTCATGAGAAATACTGATCTGTAGTTTTATTTTTTATAATGTCTTTCTTGCAAGGTAATACACTTTACATGACTCGAATCCTTTTGAATTTATTGGGACTTGTTTTATAGACCAGAATACTAAAAGTTATATATGCACTTGAGAAGAATAAATATGTATTCTGCCACTGCTGAGGGAAATATACAATTAAATGTCAATTTGGTCAAGTTTGGTCAACAGTGTTCTTAAAATAAAATCTTCTATATCCTAAACGATTGTCTTAGTTGTTCTGTCAATCATTAAGGGAAGAATACTACAATCTCTGTCTATTATTATTATGATTTTGTCTTTGTAGTCCTACCACTTTTTCCTTCAGGTGTTTTGACGGTCTCTTGTTAGAAGTATACATACTCAGGAATGTTTTGTCCTCTTGGCTTTGTCATCTCTCTGGCAATTAGTCTCTATTCTGAAAAACACTCTATTTAAGATTAATAAAGCCACTCCAGCTTTCTTTTGATGAGTTGTTAGCTTGGTACATCATTTTATCCTTTTAATTATACCTATTATATCTTTATGCTTAAAGACATTTTGGTAGTCAACAACATATAAAGGAGTCTTACCTTTTATCTGATCTATATCTGCTTTCTGTGTTCTTTGTGGGGATATTTAGACCATGTACATGTAATGTGATTGTTGATATGGGGGGGTTAAGTCTGTCATCTTGCCTTTTGTTTTCTATATGTCCCATCTGTTCTTTTTCTTTTTTCCTTTACTTTGTGCTTTATTTTGGATTAATTTTACATCTTTATGATACCATTTTATCTTTTCTAGGCTTATTAAGTATGACTCTCTGAATTTGATAGATAACATCAGTGAGTTTTTGTTATGGTTTACAGTTTACATTTTTAACCTATCCCAGACTATCGAAGGTAACATTATACCACTTGAGATATAGTATAAAAACCTTAAAACTTACTTACATTTCTCCCCTCTTGATTTTTGTGTTATTATTAATGTCATACTTTTTCTTTATATATGTGATAAACCACACACTATATTGCTCACTATATTTTGTTTAAAAAGTCAATGATCCTTGAAAGACATATAAATATTAAAAATAAAACCTTGTGTATTTATTCACTTTATCATTTTCAATGCTCTCCATCTCTGTTCAGATCCAGATTTCCATTTGGGTATCATTTTCCTTCTGCCTGAAGGATTTCCTTTAATATGATTTATAATGTGGGTCTGTTGGTGATGAATCCTTCCGAATTTTGTGCGTAGGCACAAATCTTTATTTCATCTTTATTTGGGGGAGAGCTCAGCCAGTTGTTATGCAGCACTCATAAGTGGAGTGAGTTTGCCAGTGGCCCTGAATGTGGCACACATGAGAGGGGATGTGGGATGCCTATCACGTTTCACAGGTTGTGTGAGGATGGGGCTGCTCTTGCAGGCCGTGTAGGTTAGATGTGGCTGGTATAACACTGGAGGCAGGGTGCCTTTCCGTTTCCATCAGCTTTAAGGGGCCAGGCTACACTAGTGGGCCTGAAAAAGACCTTCACCACTGTTTAGGGGTTGTGCAAGTGAATTTGTGGCACCTTGCTGGACAAACTAACTCAGGAAAACTGCCCAGCTGCTTCTCATGGCTGGGCAAGGTTGCCTATTTGCTTCCTGAGAGGCCCAGAATGCTGAGGCATTCAGAGTTGGCTGCTTGGATGCTTCTCAGGCCACAGGGAGGATAGGAGGGGTTGCCTGGCTGCTTTCTGGGGCACTCGGTGGACCTAGTCATTCAGGGAAGGCTGTCCAGCTGCTTTCCAAAGCCATGGGAAGGTGAGTAGAGCCACCATCTACTTTCTGGGTGCCTCAGTGGGCTGAGCCATTTAGGGTAGCAGCCTGGCTGCTTCCTCAGGTCATGGGAAGCAGGAAGGTTCATCAGGAGGTGGGCTAGTTCACAGGGATAGGTCAGATAAGCCAAATGAAGTGGGTGCTCAGCTGCTTTAAAGGACTCCAAATGGGTAGGTTCTCAAAATGGCACTTTGTAGCAGGAATCTGGGTGGAGGAGGGCACAAAAAGGGCTGGGATGTTTTTCTATGACAACGCAACGTCTGGTAACTCAGTAACTCCCCATACAGGGCTCAGGCCCTATGAGGGCTGCAAAGAACTATCAGGAATACTTCCCCTACCCATGGCATTGTACTTACTTTCTCAGACACAAGAAGTCCCTCTTGGTTCAATGTTGATCACAAGAGAAGAGAATGACAGCTGCTGTGGTGTATTACCTTTCTTTAGAAGATCATGTTCTGTGACATGTTCTTATTGGTTTTGTCCACTAATTCTAACATTCATTTCCACTGCCTTCAGAACCTCTGTCTCAAACATTCCAGTGAAATAGCTATTATTTTTTTCTTTGTTTTGGCCCTTTTTGTAGCAAGAAGTGCATCAGGCACCTCTAGTTAACCATCTTGCTGACATCACTCCCCTTCACCTTGATTTTCAAATGAAGGGTATTTACTGGGTATAAAATTCTAGATGACAGTTGATTTTAAGTTGTGACTTCAGGGCTAGGAGTGTAACTCAGTGGTAGAGCATGTGCCCAGCATATGCAATTCCCTTGGTTTGATCCCGCGCATTGATATACAGAGGAGAAGGAAAAGAAGACTCCACTGTCTCCTTGCATTGTTCTCAACAAGAACTCTGTTGTCATTCTTACCTTTGTCCCTCTGTTCCAAACTTGTTCCTTCATGCCCAACCCCTGATGCTTTTAAGATTTTCTCTTTATCACTGGCATTTCATTATTTGATCAAGGTTGGCTCTGGTATAATTTTGTGTTTCTGGTGCTTGTTGTTTCTGGAACTTCTTGTATCTATGAGTTGTTTTGTTTTCCATCAAATTTAGGGATTTTAAGTTCATTGTTTTTTCAAATATTTTTCCTACCTCAACTTCTCTCTTCTTTATAGATTGCAATTTCACAAATATTAAGTCCTCAAAGTTGTGCCAAATCTCAGATACACTGATCTTTCAAAACAAAACAAAAAACAAACAAACAAACAAACAAAAAAACTTCTCTCTCAAGTTCACTAACCTTTTCCTCTACAATGTCTAATTTTATTTCTTCAGGTGTATTTTTCAAATTATACTTTGTGGTTTTATTTCTAGAAGTTTGATCTGGAGAATTTTTATCTCTTATATGTCTCTCTTTAACCTTTGGCAGTATGAAATAAAGTTATAATTACTGTCTTTTTGGTTTTGTCCACTAATTCTAACATCTGTTTCAGATCTGGGCAGTTTCAATTGATGAATTTATCTCCACTTTATGCACCATATATTCCCAGTTTCTTTTTCCTTTTTTTGAGTGCATAGTATTTTTTATTGGATTCTGAACACTGTGAATTTCGCTTAGTTGGGTGCAGGATAATGTTCTTGAATTTTGTCTGGGACTCAGTTAACTAAGTTATATGGAGAGTCTCATCCTTTTAGTTCTTGTTCTAAAGATATATTGCACAGGACTGGATCAGTGCTTTATTCCCCATTACTGAGGCAATATGCTTCTGTGCATTTTCCCAGTGCCTTATGAATCATAAGGTTTTCCAATCTGGCTCGTAAAGACAGGAACTGTTCCCAGCCTTGTAGTAGCACTGAGTACTATTAACTCTAATCCTTTGGGAAGTTTCTTTCCTCAATCTGATTTAGTAGTTTCTTCATTAGTAGTACTCCTCTGACTGTTACCCAGCTGAATATTCAAAAGTGATGCTTGCTGATAGATGGTATGCTCTCTCTGTATCTCTCTCCTCTCTGCTACTCTTTCACACTTCAGTGAATTTAGTCTCCATGAACTTATACTTCTGTCTCTTCATTTCAGGAAGTTTGATTATTTCTCCTATCCTGTGAGATGGCCTGGAAATTCTCTCAAGGCAGTAAGCTGGGGCGATCATGGGATTCACTTGACTTATTTTTCACCACACTCAGGCATCACTGTTCTTTGTTACAGTGGGAGCAGTATTTTGAAAACTGTTGTTTTATAAACTATCCATTTTTGGTTGTTTTAGGCAGGATAATAAATTCAGCCTCTGTTACTCCATCTTGGCTAGAAGTACAAGTTCTATGTACCCCCCTCCCTTCCTTGCTTTAAATTCCATTAGTAGGTTCATTTCCTTCAATCATCCATGCAAATAAAAAAACCTGAAAAATAAAATCACCCATGCCATATAATCTTTAAAGGGTTCTGCTCCCCTCTTAGCCCCCTCTTCTGGGATGTCTCCCCTCTTCTATTCCCATCATACTACAACCAGTTTCAGGCTGGTCTTAGTGGTACCCTCAGCACTTGTGTGGGCCTCTGATCTCCGTGCAGAAAATAAATCAGTATTTGAAATACGACACCCAACCAGCTACAGGTTGAGTTTGTTTGTAGTTTGGGAGATCAGCATGTATTTTTCCATAAGGTCAACATGAAAATCAGAGAGGACAATCCAGGCGATGTAGTGCTAAGACTCAGGAAGGGACCTGAGTGGCCTTGTTCCTAAGAATATAAGGGACATACACTGAACCCATACAGGACCCAGAACCCAGAAAATGTGATTGTTTTTAATTATATGAAGTCATTAGCTGTCAGAGGTTAGCAGAGATGGAAAGATGGATGAATTCCGGGGTCCTCCCACCAAATCTTGAGGCCTCCTGTATACCACACTCAGGCCCTAGGTATGGGTTATCTCCCTTATTAGGTCATGATAAGTGGGAGCAGCACACACAGAGCTCTATTAAAGTCATGCAGATATAGCAGGAGGGGAGGGACCAAGAAGGGTTACTCCTGAAACCAGGCAAGAGCAGTAAACCTGGCAACTATCCAGGGAGCTGTGGCAGATGTTTCTGTAGTTTATAAGGCCCAATCAGAACAGGAAGAAACATGCTGCCATATTTGAATATGCAGAAAGTGTGTGAGTCTCTTTAGAAAGTCCAGATTTCCTAGTGAGCTTCCAATAACAACTTTATTTGCCTCCTCCTCCTGAAGGCAGGGAATGGGTAGGAATGAAGGTGGGGAATGATTAAAATCTTGTTCTGACATGTGTTCTGCACTATATCAGTGAAGCTTTGATTTGCCCACTATAAATGTGTGTGGTTTCTTCAGCCTTAGCTAGTAGGGCCTTTCTGTACCATGTGCTATAATTTTTGGCTAATGACCCCAGCACCAGAGATTCTCCCAATGCCACAAGTAGCCCCAGGCCCATCTCTAGGCCCCAGAAATGGGAAAATGGTCTCCCTTACCTGGATGTTCTCCATGGCCTCTATATATAGAGATTTCTCTGGATCCTCAGAAATTCTCTGGACTCCTAGCCTGTTACTCATGAACTCAGCATCTTTGAGAGAAAGAATAGAATAAGAACAGAAAATAGATGATAAATATCTATGAAACCACAGGAAATTGGGCAGCATGATCATGTATTTTAAACTATGATTATCTGAAAACTTAAATTTCAGAAGGCAGCAACTAGAGTTGAAAATAACAGGTTCTTTCAAGCCCACTTCAATCCTGACTGTGACACAGAGGTTCAGGAAAAGTTCCTCCTCAACTTCTCTGATCCTTCCCAAGGAGAGCTATGAAGATGAACTGTTATGCATGATGGTCTTGGCTTGAGCGGGGTACACAGGAGGCCCTAATATTTGCCAGTCACTGGACAATGAGATCCTTTGCTGGTATCCCCCTTGAAGTTTACAAACAACTGATTATGACAGAATTTAAAAGGATCTTAAGACAGAAGGTGGAAAAGGCCACAATCAGCAACATCAGTGCTAATAGACTGCCAAGGATTAACACAAGAGCTGCTTTGTCTTTGTTTGGAAATACTGTGAAGTTGGGGTCTACCAGTGGCCATGAAATTCACTTTTCTATCTTGCAAGAATTGAGCTGAATGTCATTATTTTAATATGTCTGAAACATCAACAATCAGAATATTTAATCTTCATTAAAAATTACAATGAGCAAAAAATTCCCATTTTCTATAAAAAGTGCTCCCCTTTCCATTTTCTGTGACTGCAGGGGAACAATTTGGGAGACATCATCATCATAGGAATGCTTGCACTCCTTTTGTCTCACCCAGGGCTACTCTGCTAGGGGATTCTTAACCATGACTCTGCTCTCAGCCTTTGGGCCTTATCTAAGAGCAGTCCCAGGATGCTCTAGCAGATGCACCAGAGGACCTGAACCCTCTAGAGGCTTCCAGAGACACTGCGGCTTCTCTGTGTGTTTTTCTTTTTTATTTATTTATTTATTTTTTAAATTTTTTATTGTTGGTTGTTAAAAACATTACAAATTTCTTGATATATCATATTTCACACTTTGATTCAAGTGGGTTATGAACTCCCATTTTTACCCCATATACAGATTGCAGAATCACATCAGTTACACATCCATTGATTTAAATATTGCCATACTAGTGTCTGTTGTGTTCTGCTGCCTTTCCTATCCTCTACTATCCCCCCTCCCCTCCCCTCCCCTCCCATCCCCTCTTCTCTCTCTACCCCCTCTACTGTCATTCATTTCTCCCCTTGTATTATTTTTCCCTATCCCCTCACTTCCTCTTGTATGTAATTTTGTATAACCCTGAGGGTCTCCTTCCATTTCCATGCAATTTCCCTTCTCTCTCCCTTTCCCTCCCACCTCTCATCCCTGTTTAATGTTAATCTTCTTCTCCTGCTCTTCGTCCCTACTCTGTTCTTAGTTACTCTCCTTATATCAAAGAAGACATTTGGCATTTGTTTTTTAGGGATTGGCTAGCTTCACTTAGCATAATCTGCTCTAATGCCATCCATTTCCCTGCAAATTCTATGATTTTGTCATTTTTTAATGCAGAGTAATACTCCATTGTGTATAAATGCCACATTTTTATCCATTCGTCTATTGAAGGGCATCTAGGTTGGTTCCACAGTCTTGCTATTGTGAATTGTGCTGCTATGAACATCGATGTAGCAGTGTCCCTGTAGCATGCTCTTTTTAGGTCTTTAGGGAATAGACCGAGAAGGGGAATAGCTGGGTCAAATGGTGGCTCCATTCCCAGCTTTCCAAGAAATCTCCATACTGCTTTCCAAATTGGCTGCACCAATTTGCAGTCCCACCAGCAATGTACAAGTGTACCCTTTTCCCCACATCCTCGCCAGCACTTGTTGTTGTTTGACTTCATAATGGCTGCCAATCTTACTGGAGTGAGATGGTATCTTAGGGTGGTTTTGATTTGCATTTCTCTGACTGCTAGAGATGGTGAGCATTTTTTCATGTACTTGTTGATTGACTGTATGTCCTCCTCTGAGAAGTGTCTGTTCAGGTCCTTGGCCCATTTGTTGATTGGGTTGTTTGTTATCTTATTGTCTAATTTTTTGAGTTCTTTGTATACTCTGGATATTAGGGCTCTATCTGAAGTGTGAGGAGTAAAGATTTGTTCCCAGGATGTAGGCTCCCTATTTACCTCTCTTATTGTTTCTTTTGCTGAGAAAAAACTTTTTAGTTTGAGTAAGTCCCATTTGTTGATTCTAGTTATTAACTTTTGTGCTATGGGTGTCCTATTGAGGAATTTGGAGCCCGACCCCACCGTATGTAGATCGTAGCCAACTTTTTCTTCTATCAGACGGTGTGTCTCTGATTTGATATCAAGCTCCTTGATCCATTTTGAATTAACTTTTGTGCATGGCGAGAGAAAGGGATTCAGTTTCATTTTGTTGCATATGGATTTCCAGTTTTCCCAGCACCATTTGTTGAAGATGCTATCCTTCCTCCATTGCATGCTTTTAGCCCCTTTATCAAATATAAGATAGTTGTAGTTTTGTGGATTGGTTTCTGTGTCCTCTATTCTGTACCATTGGTCCACCCTCCTGTTTTGGTACCAGTACCATGCTATTTTTGTTACTATTGCTCTGTAGTATAGTTTGAAGTCTGGTATCGCTATACCGCCTGATTCACACTTCCTGATTAGCATTGTTTTTGCTATTCTGGGTCTTTTATTTTTCCATATGAATTTCATGATTGCTTTCTCTATTTCTACAAGAAATGCTGTTGGGATTTTGATTGGCATTGCATTAAACCTATAGAGAACTTTTGGTAATATCGCCATTTTGATGATGTTAGTTCTGCCTATCCATGAACAGGGTATATTTTTCCATCTTCTAAGATCTTCTTCTATTTCTCTCTTTAGGGTTCTGTAGTTTTCATTGTATAAGTCCTTTACCTCTTTTGTTAGGTTGATTCCCAAGTATTTTATTTTTTTTGAAGATATTGTGAATGGAGTGGTTGTCCTCATTTCCATTTCAGAGGATTTGTCGCTGATATACAGGAATGCCTTTGATTTATGCGTGTTGATTTTATATCCTGCCACTTTGCTGAATTCATTTATTAGCTCTAATAGTTTCTTTGTAGACCCTTTTGGGTCTGCTAGGTATAGAATCATGTCACCTGCAAATAGTGATAATTTAAGTTCTTCTTTTCCTATTTTGATGCCTTTAATTTCTTTCGTCTGTCTAATTGCTCTGGCCAGTGTTTCGAGAACTATGTTGAACAGAAGTGGAGAGAGAGGGCATCCCTGTCTTGTTCCAGATTTTAGAGGGAATGCCTTCAATTTTTCTCCATTCAGAATGATGCTAGCCTGAGGCTTAGCATAAATTGCTTTTACAATATTGAGGTATGTTCCTGTTATCCCTAGTTTTTCTAGAGTTTTGAACATAAAGGGATGCTGTACTTTGTCGAATGCTTTTTCCGCATCTATCGAGAAGATCATATGGTTCTTATTTTTAAGTCTATTGATGTGGTGAATAACATTTATTGATTTCCGTATATTGAACCAGCCTTGCATCCCAGGGATGAATCCTACTTGATCATGGTGCACAATTTTTTTGATATGTTTTTGTATCCGATTCGCCAGAATTTTATTGAGGATTTTTGCATCTAGGTTCATTAGAGATATTGGTCTGTAGTTTTCTTTCTTTGAAGTGTCTTTCTCTGGTTTAGGTATCAGGGTGATGTTGGCCTCGTAGAATGAATTTGGAAGTTCTCCCTCTTTTTCTATTTCCTGAAGTAGCTTGAAAAGTATTGGTATTAGTTCCTCTTTAAAGGTTTTGTAAAACTCTGCTGTATACCCATCCGGTCCTGGGCTTTTCTTAGTTGGTAGTCTTTTGATGGTTTCTTCTATTTCCTCAATTGATATTGGTCTGTTTAGGTTGTCTATATCCTCCTGACTCAATCTGGGCAGATCATATGACTTAAGAAATTTTTCGATGCCTTCACTATCTTCTAATTTATTGGAGTATAAGGATTCAAAATAATTTTTGATTATCTTCTGTATTTCTGAAGTGTCTGTTGTGATATTGCCTTTTTCATCCCATATGCTAGTAATTTGAGTTCTCTCTCTTCTTCTCTTCGGCAGCATGGCTAAGGGTCTGTCGATTTTGTTTATTTTTTCAAAGAACCAACTTTTAGTTTTGTCAATTTTTTCAATTGTTTCTTTTGTTTCGATTTCATTAATTTCAGCTCTGATTTTCATTATTTCTTGCCTTCTACTTCTTTTGCTGTTGTTTTGCTCTTCTTGTTCTAGGATTTTGAGATGAAGTATGAGATCATTTATTTGTTGGTTTTTTCTTTTTTTAAGGAATGAGCTCCAAGCAATGAATTTTCCTCTTAGAACTGCTTTCAATGTGTCCCATAGATTCCGATATGTTGTGTCTGTGTTTTCATTTATCTCTAAGAATTTTTTAATTTCCTCCTTGATGTCTTCTATAACCCATTGATCATTCAGTAACCTATTGTTCATTCTCCAAGTGATGTATGCTTTTTCCTTCCTTCTTTTATTGTTGATTTTCAGTTTCATTCCATTATGATCAGATAAGATGCATGGTATTATCTCTACTCCTTTATATTGTCTAAGAGTTGCCCTGTGACATAATATATGATCTATTTTTGAGAAGGATCCATGTGCTGTTGAGAAAAAAGTGTAACTGCTTGATGTTGGGTGGTATATTCTATATATGTCAATTAAGTCTAGGTTATTAATTGTGTTATTGAGTTCTATAGTTTCCTTATTCAGCTTTTGTTTGGAAGATCTGTCCAGTGGCGAGAGAGGTGTGTTGAAGTCTCCCATGATTATTGTATGGTGGTCTATTAGACTCTTGAACTTGAGAAGAGTTTGTTTGATGAACATAGCTGCACCATTGTTTGGGGCATATATATTTATGATTGTTATGTCTTGTTGGTGTATGGTTCCCTTAAGCAGTATGTAGTGTCCCTCTTTATCCCTTTTGATTAACTTTGGCTTGAAATCTATTTTATTTGATATGAGTATGGACACTCCTGCTTGTTTCCAAAGTCCATATGAGTGAT